ATTTCATTTTTAAGGGGGTAGGGATACTACTAGTAAGGCACTTGTTACTACTAGTAAGGCACTTGTTTCTACTAGCTTCTTGTTACTACTAGTGACCTCTCAGGTTGCTCTCAGCTCTCCCCTAAAGAGATCGGTCTTGCTTCCCGTCGCGGAGCGCGGGACCGGTGCGCTCTTCGGGAGGAGACGACTGGATCCGACGAAAACGGTGGATCCGGTGGATCTTATAGTGTAGAGCTGACTCTACAGCTGCTAATGAAGAAACAGCCCCCCCCCCCAGACATAGCTTGCAAGACCTCTTCCTGTTCTTTTTTGTGGGGCTTTGTTATGAATCTTCTGAGTCGATCTACCTTATAGGCCTTCGGGATGAAGACATTTCCACGCTGAGCTCGATCGATCTCGCGCACCAACGTTCTGACGGAGTCGCGCGTTGTCCAGCCTGTCCGGGCGTTGATGAAGCCGCGAAAGAAGGAGATGTTCATATCTAAACACCAGATCACAGCGCTCACCAACGCGAAGCCATAGAGAATTCCTGATCCATGTTGCACGTCAAAGGCCGTCAGCAAGGGGATCATCACCTCAGGGCCGTGTGGCGAGGTCTTTTTCCAAGTGGCCGGTGGCAAAAGAAATCCTTACACCGTCGACTGCGAAGACTCTCCTGGTGAAAACCCCGCTGCTTGATCTGGCGCTCGAAAAATGCTGGGCCCTCTTGGGTGGAAGATGTCACTTGTTACTACTAGCGAGGCACTTGTTACTAGAAGCGATGCACTTGTTCCTAGTAGCTTCTTGTTACTACTAGTAAGGCACTTGCCTGTGCAGGCCAAGTAGCACTATCGTGCAACATCGTCATCCCACAGATGATGTCCCATACGACCAACAGAAAGCTATCTGGCCTGAACCCAAAGCGTGCGCAAAACACTCGGAGTGTCCTCTGAAGTGAGAAGAATGTGCATCTTCGACAAATCCTAAAACTTAACAACAATCTGAGCTGAGCTTTGGCAGCTTTGTTAAATAGGAACCTCCTTGGTGTGGATTGTCACGGGGAACGTGCTTCATTTCGATTGGCTCCAACGGGAATTGGTGCAGTTAGGGTGTCTTCGTGGTTTTTGTTCAAACTCTTGATATCCATAGAATTCGTTTCTGGAACCATCTCATGGAGAACGGAGGTCTTCAATGGATCTTGGCTTTTTCATGCCATGTCCATGGCTCGATAAATGTCACCTAGCCATCAAAGGAGCCCCGTGTCACCTAGCCATCGTGCGCGTTTCCCCAACACCCATCGCCCAAGCGGGCGCCCCTGGCGGCGTTCGCACCCACCCGAGACTGCCCGAACGGCCGACCACCGCCTCATCACCAGGCGCGACAAGCCGTGGTGACTGAAGTCGTGTCGCCGCACGAGGCGAGACAGGCTTCGACCTGACGGGTGTCTTGAGGCGAAAGGGAGGAAGCGGTGCGTCGGTGCGAGCGATAGAGATGGTAGAGGATGGTGGGCTGTTATGTGGTCATAGGGCCTAAGAGAGTCTTGGGGTATTTTTGAGTGAATAGAAAAGCTTAAAAGGTTTCCACTGGCTTCCACTATAGGTGCCAAATTGAAATGCTAGTCATGAAGCTACTCTAGACAAAAGCTGAGGGAAAACAAGAAAAGGAAGCACGAAATGTGCATTTGCAAATGCTGCAGCATGTTGCAAACTATCGTTACACATGCAGCTCTCCCCATTTGCGCTTAAGCTCAGCGGCTGTTGATGGTGTTCACACTCCCTCGGTCTGCGGTCTTTCTCCGGGAACCTCAGCAAAAACAAACATCAACAAGGTCTGTGTGGCTGAAAGTGTCGGGACCCATCAATCATCCTCCTTCCCATCTCCTCCCATCTCCTCCGTGGAGCTGCTTCTCCGCCACCTCTCCTGCCACCTCTCCATTGGGCCTCTCGGGGTCGACCTGGAAGACTTCCTGCAAACACTCTTCGGGACCACCGCCCTCACCGCGACCGACGGGCGCG